ACTGAAACAACATGATGTAACTCCAAGTCAATCACACTTCTGTGAAATCAAAATGTCCACTTAAGTCTGATTCATGCTTCTGCGTCTGCGTCAGTGCGGAGACACGCAACGCCATTATCCGTCCTTGCGAGCCTGCTGGAGAGCCCCCGCAAGGACTGACGGAGTCGAGCTCTCTTTTCTAAACATCCGTCCGTCGAGACGGAGAACGCAAGCTTGTGATTGGTCTGCGCACCGCTGTCGTCTACACCGCCGCCATTGCGCCCTCAAAAACATACAGAGAGCCGAGGATAACTAGCGGCAGACACAAAGAAGATTGAAGAATACCTCGTGAAAAAACTCTAAAAATATGAACGTTTAATTCCCCCGTGACTGGAGGAGTGAAAAGATACGCAGCAAGCGTTTTATTTGTGGACGGAAATAATGGGAAACGTGGATTTAGAGGTGGTGAGCGGAAGAAGAGGTGAAGGAGGATGAGGGACAAATTTGTCCATGTTAAAAAGTAACTGAAATACAAAAAACACAATATAAACACACCATCTTGGTCCGGATTCTTCTTCCGGCTCTTTGAGAGTACAGACGCTTTTTTCCTCCTGTCCTCCCTATCTTATCTGAAGGCTCTCTGTCTGTCTTTGGGTGTACGGCGCTTTCTGCATTTTTTCTGGAAACTGGAAATTATTAAAAATGGACCTGGTCAGTTGGTCTCTCAATGCGATTGACAAAATTTTTTCAACGATTACAATGGGAGAAGGGGCTCCCGGATGCCCCTCTGGGACAGACCCAGCTGGGCATATCATGGACTCCTGGAAACAGTGGAACCTGATCTGCTTCTCTCAACTGTCTGTGGAGGATTCTGAAGAAGTCTGGATAGTAGAGGTGTTGGTGTCAGGTTTCTTGCTGTTTGGCCTGAGTTGTTACCTGGCTTACCGGAACATTGATGAGCTTTCGAGGAATATTAGCTCAATCCCGAAGCTCAGGGATGGATTACACCGCACTGTGAATGCAAAAACTCATATAATTGTCGAGATGAGTCGTAAGCTTGGAACTTTGGCTGAGATTCAGACTCTGGCACAGAAGGTTGATTCGATCAAAGAGAGAGTGGACGGATCAGCACGGTTGGGAATAGATTAATTTTCGCCATTATTGGATCGAGAGGGGTTGAAGACTAACAGAACTTTAAGACAGAGGAAATTATCTCTGCCTGGCCCAAAACAAGTTCTTATCTGAATCTGGTGCCCTTGAGCCTGTGAGGCTGAAGTACTCCCCGTGAGAAGAAATGTGGAATGCTGCTGTCGCCATGACAACTCTGTCTCACTATCCCAGCCTGGGCGGGACTGAGACCGATGAAGGTCGTGGAACCGTTTCCAGGAGTCACTGTGCTTTCTAACCCTATTTCCTCCCTCCCCTGTCCAAATGGAGATGACGAGGGCTGCTCATTGCGGCTGCATGAACTGATGTGAGGATAGTCCCCAACCCTACCTCCCCACCTAGTGGACACTTATGTTGTGTGATGTCTGAAGTCTGTTGCATTTCTGTCTGAGGTGTTTTTTGCATAGCAAAGCTGCCCTCCCTGTGGAGGGTAACTCTGAAGTGCCTTTTTTCCCTCCACCTGACCCATTCCTCATGTAAACCCTCTGATTACTATTAGGTTTTTTTTTCGATTGCTAAAATGCGCTTTTCAAAACTGTATGTTCCTTTCAAATCTGCACACACAAAACCCCAAACATCACACACAAATTGCTAAACCCTGTCATCCTTTTGCAAAACAATTCTGCCATCAAATCTTGTAACATGTTCACAAAATGGAACACATGTTTTCATTTTGTAAACACAACCATATTTTCACATGACACACACATACCAATCATTGAATAAACACAGTTAGCTTTTGGCTGAACACTACCAAGCATGGAAAGAACACTGAAGAGGAAAACTGAAAACACAATTACAGAAATGGAACACACTGAATCTATTACACACTGAACATATTACAAAATATTATGACAATTTATGGCAAAACATTTAATTTTTAAACCCATTACATTTTTATTTGTGTCACTTTTGCACGAGATTGTTGCACAAGTCATCATGTCTCCTCTTGCAGGGATCTTGTTGAGCTCAAGTCGTTGGCGTTTTCTTGTTCCTCCTGACAGTCTCTGCTAATCTCCTGGTTTTGTTTCCGTTCCTCACTGTGTGTCTTTTTCTGTTGTTTTGTGTGATTAAAATCTTAATTATATTATTATCTCTAAAATATTACTGAATATCCTCAAACTTAAGAATGTAAAATGTGACCTTTTTCTTTAGATGCTTGTAATGATATTTGACTGTAGTCATTTAAAATAAACATTTGTTTATTTCATGATTTTTATGCTAATCTATGTGATGATCTTGTACAGGTCTCAATGTATTTTTTCTTCCTGGTAAAAAAAAATATTAAATTTAAATTAGAAAAATACATCTTTTTGTCCTAAAAGTAATTTTCATTGTTTTATATTTGAAAATAAAGGAAAATTTGTTCAGCATTTTATGTGTATTTTCTACACAAGTGATTGGTGAGATTAGAGTGGATTATGGATCCCGAGGGCCGGTCTCTTTAGGTTTTGTGTCACCAAGAACATTTTCACATCATCACTGGAGATTTAGTCTAAATTATTAGTTGTAACAACTTTATCATTAAATAAACAGCTATTGGAGCTTAATGAGGCTGCCTGCTTGCTGACCTTTATGGTTTATCAGCAGCAGCGACTCAACCAAACATCCACAACCTAATCATGCACAGACAGGAGACATGGACCTTACACACCCGTCTCATTAGACTTCAGTTCCCAACCACGTCCCCTCTCAGATTTACAGCCTCAGATTAAGACGCCATGTGTAACTTCTCCTCTCGATTTATGGCTGGTCTGCAGTGTTCAGCGAGGGGGTGGAAGGAAAGGACAGCTGAGGCAACTATTTAGGAAGACTTTAGACAAGCGAGTTGTGTCATATCTGAGGTCTTCATGCAGGGGCGCCTCCAGAAATTTTTGACAGGGGTGGCCAGATGGGGCCAAATAACTTTTTGGGGTGTCACACCAAATTGGTCCTTGTGTTAACTCTGGGAGAGTTTACTCTGTAGCAATGTATTGCATTGCTCCTTTATTCATTTTTATTAAAAAAGCAGTACGTATCCAAAACATTTAACTAAAATTTTACAAGCACAAACATCTCATAAAAATGCATTTCAGTTATTTAAAATGTTATTCCAAATTTCATTTAAAATTATATTTTTTAGGTAAATTCCCCTGTTGCTGTGTTCACAAAAACAATAAAAAACTATGGAGACAAAAACTTTTTTAAAAATTGGGAGCAGCGGAAATATATGTATTTATTTTTTTATTCTGATACTTTCTTTACTTATTAGTTGTGCTATTTTGTTTTGTTTTACAATTATGTCTTGAATAAACAAGATCAATAAATGGTTTGACCGAACATTTATTTATTACCAGTGACTTTTCCTGGGGGGGGGTCAGCACTTTTCTAGGGGTGGCCATGGCCACCCCTGGCCACTCCTTGGGGGCACCCTTGTCTTCTTGGACAAGGGAAGATCAGAGCAACGCTGCAGAATAAAATAAATTCTAACAACAGCAAACGGTCTGAACATATAACAGAAATTACACATTAGACACTAAATCTCGCTAAACCTACATATTCTGTAAAATGTACAAACTTTCTGTAATCACAGGAAAAACATGACAGTGAGAGCTTAGTTAGAATAAAACTTCATAGTGCATATATAAAATAAAAAAAACACCCCCTTTGTCCAGGAAAATGTCTAACGTCTGCAGAGAAATCAGTGTGCAGCACAGACTACTGCTCAAAGTCTGTGGTTACTTGGGAATGTTCTTTTTTCCACGGACACGGAAGAAGTTATTCTAAAGAACAGGACATGCAGTTATCAGAGTTAGAAATCAAATTAAAATCAGGGTTTGGAATAAAACCCGGGTCACATGCTCTGATGTTTCTGCTGCATGCTAAAGCAGTCCCAGAGCGTAAAACTGCATTTATATTGTTGTTTGTGTTGAACGCAGGAAGCTCGGGATGTCTGGTGTTTTATAATACTTTGATTCTTCATCACTACCTTCTCCTCATTCAGCTCTTTCTACCAAGCTACTGCTAACGTCCGTGTTGGACGAGATGAAAACAGAAACAAATCATGTTGAAGCGCTCCCATTCTGGGATGTACTGGGATGACTGGGAAATATTTGTGTGAAATCAGCTTGTGTGGTGTTTAGTTTTTGCCGTGATGCCAGACACCACACAACGTAGGACCAAAACTGTTAAATCCGTGATTTTCTTTTATCACCAGTTGTGATAAAATCCTGCTGCGTGAACCTAACCCAACTGTGCTGGAGCGTGATTTCCTAGAAAACACAAACATTTCCCATTTGTCTCATCACGTCTTAAATTTAAAGCTTCAAACAGTGGATGATCTAATCCAGCCTTTAGGATTTTCAACAGGACTGTTGAGAGTTATCAATAAAATTTCACATTTTTATGTCCTAGTTCCTAGAATCTATGTTTGTAGGACGTACCGGTCATCCTTCTCATCCCTGATACCGATCTGCTAGTCATTTATTATAAATATAAGCGTTGACTTCCAGGTTTGAGTCTGAAGTCTTTCTCTCTATTAAAGTCTAGAAACTAAACCATTAATGACATAGAAAAGAAAAATAAATAATGCCTAAAGTAACACAAAGATGTATAAAATCTGCAACGTTTGTTCATTTAAAGACTAAAAGTTCGCTATTTCAGAGTGTTTGAGTTGTATTTAGGTTGGAAGGGGATTTCCGTGCTGCTGCTGGGTCAGTGGATTACCTTGTAACAGATCTGCTGGAGCGCACCAACAGGATGTGTTAGCCTGTGTACGGCTTTAATCCCTCAGACAAGCATACTAAACCGTTAGCTGAAGAGACGTGCTTCTGAGGATCTCTTCTCACCAGACGCCTTTTGTTTTTCTGACTCAGCTGGGAATGATGACACGCCCTGTCTTTACCGCTGATTGAGCATGCTGCTTGGTTAGCAACGCTCTTCCCCTGCTTCCCCTCTGGACACAGACGCAGCCATGCTGATCAAGGAGTACCGAATTCCCATGCCGATGAGCGTGGAGGAGTACCGCATTGCTCAGCTCTACATGATCCAGGTGAGCGTGTGTTTTTCTTCTCTCGCCACAATTTTCACATCATTTTCATGCATTTCCACTTGTGCTTTTAGTGGTCATGTTGTTCTGACTAAATCTCCCCTCAGCTATGGGATCCCTCACAAATACTAAAGATAATATTTGCACTCAACAAAAATATAAACGCAACACCTTTGTTTCTGCTCCGATTTTTCATCAGATGGACTTTAAGGTCTAAAAGTCATTCCAGATACACAATATTACAATTTCTCTCAAACACTGTTCACAAATCAGTCTAAATGTGTGATAGTGAGCTCTTCTGCTTTGCTGAAATAATCCATCCCACCTCACAGGTGTGCCACATCAAGATGCTGATCCGACATCATGAGTAGTGCGCAGGTGTACCTTATACTGCCCACAATAAAAGGCCACCCTGGAATGTGCAGTTTTGTCTCACAGCACAATGCCAAAGATGCCACAAGCATTGAGGGAGCGTGCAATTGGCATGCTGACAGCAGGAATGTCAACCAGATCGGTTGCTCGTGCATTAAATGTTCATTTCTCCACCATAAGCCATCTCCAAAGGCATTTCAGAGAATATGGCAGTACATCCAACTGGCCTCACAACCGCAGACAACGTGTAACCACACCAGCCCAGGACCTCCACATCCAGCAGGTTCACCTCCAAGATCATCTGAGACCAGCCACTCAGACAGCTGCTGAAACAATTGGTTTGCATAACCAAACAATTTCTGCACAAACTGTCAGAAACCGTCTCAGGGAAGCTCAACTGCATGCTTGTCGTCCTCATCGGGGTCTTGGCCTGACTCCAGCTCGTCGCCGTAACAGACTTGAGTGGGCAAATGCTCACCTTCGATGGCATCTGGCACGTTGAAGAGGTGTTCTCTTTACGTATGAATCTTGGTTTACATTGTTCAGGGCAGATGACAGACAGCATGTGTGGCGTCGTGTGGGTGAGCGCTTTGCTGATGTCAATGTTGTGGATCGAGTGGCCCATGGTGGTGGTGGGGTTATGGTATGGGCAGGCATCTGTTATGGACGAAGAACACAGGTGCATTTTATTGATGGCATTTTGAATGCACAGAGATACCGTGATGAGATCCTGAGGCCCATTGTTGTGCTGTACATCCATGAACATGTTTCAGCAAGATAATGCACGGCCCCATGTTGCAAGGATCTGTACACAATTCTTGGAAGCTGAAAATGTCCCAGTTCTTGCATGGCCTGCATACTCACCGGACATGTCACCCGTTGAGCATGTTTGGGATGTGCTTGACCGGCGTGTACGACAGCGTGTACCAGTTCCCACTAATATCCGACAACTTCTCACAGCCATTGAAGAGGAGTGAACCAACATTCCACAGGCCACAATAGACGATCTGATAAACTCTATTCGAAGATGTGTTGCACTGCATGAGGCAAATGGTGGTCACACCAGATACTGACTGGTTCTGAGTCCCCAGACCCCCAATAAAGCAAAAAGCTGCACATTCCAGGGTGGCCTTTTATTGTGGGCAATATATGGTACACCTGTGCACTACTCATGATGTCAGATCAGCGTCTTTATGTGGCACACCTGTGAGGTGGGATGATTATCTCAGCAAAGCACAGGTGCTCACTATCACACATTTAGACTGATTTGTGAACAATGTTTGAGAGAAATGGTGATATTGTGTATCTGGAATAAATTTTAGATCTTTAAGTCCATCTCATGAAAGATCGGAGCAGAAACAAAGGTGTTGCATTTATATTTTTATTGAGTGTAATTTAACCCCAGTGGACCTCTTTCCAAGTATGTACTTAAGCCTGGACACAGTTGGACCCTGAGTTGTTCCAGTACTTTTGTCAAAAAAAAAAAAAAAACAACAGTTTTACTGTAAAACAGACAAATATTTTTTTTTCTCAAAACACATGTCTCAATCCACAGTTAGAAAATGTAAAATGGCAAAGTGTTTGCAGACTGGGCTAAAGTAATCATGTTTACTTTTTAATCCAAACCACAGTTTTTAACTCATAAATTCCAAAAAATGTTTAAAAAAACACTTTTTTTCAGCAGTTTTACATAGAAATACATCATTACCTTTGTAAATGATATTTGGCCCAACAATAACCCCAGACCATCCATTGATCCATTCAGCCGGGGCAGTAGCCAAAGCCAGGAGGCCCAGACTTCCCTCTCCCCAGTTACTTGGGCCAGCTCCTCCGGGGTAATCCAAGGCGTTCCCTGGCCAGGTGAGAGACATAGTCCCTCCACCGTGTCCTGGGTCTTTCTTTAGGCCTCCTCCTGGTTGGATATGCCCAGAAAACCTCACCAGGGAGGTTTCCAGGAGGCATCCTAGATGGCCGAGCCACCTCAACTAGCTCCTCTCGATGTGGAGGGGCAGCGGTTCTGCTCCGAGCCCCTCCCAGATGACCGAGGTTCTCACCCTCTCTCTAAGGGAGAGCTCAGCCACTCTTCGGAGAAAATGAATTTCTGCCGCTTGTACCTGCAATCTCGTTCTTTGGTCGCTACCCAAAGCTCGTGACCATAGGTGAGGGTACGAATGTAGAGCTTTGCCTTCTGGCTCAGCTCCCCTTAACTCCTGATCAGCTGATGACACCTTCAACACACCTCGCTGCTTAGTGATAGTAACGCAGACAGTCGCTCATCTCAGAAACGTATAATAAACCGACAGAATTGTTTATGAAATGATCAGAGAGATTTTAGAGTGTTTCTGTTACAGAGAAGTGAGAACACAAAGCGTTTTCCAGCCCGGTGCCTCTCGTTTGTCTGACTACTTTCATAAACTCCTATTCAGGACAAATAATTAACTTACCCCGACTTTTGTAAAGTTTCCGGTGCCACCGGGCAGCACCAGCAGAGATCAGAGACGATCTCTGAAAAATGTCCGCAACAGGACTCCGTAGTTTTCAGAAAGTTTTTTTTACAAGTTAAGAGAAGAGGCTGACGTGTTTTACAAATACTGCATCAGTACGAGCAAGGCTATTTATTTCCGTTTCTATTCCATTTTAATAACCGTTAACAGAGCACTGTGCATTGCTGTGTGCCTGATATTTGGTCTAAGAGGAAATCATGCAATGACAAAGGTTCCGCCTTGCTAGAAATGCAATCTGTGATTAAATGCGTGAACTTTTTTTAAACATGTCATTTTTTTCTAATAATTAATCATAATTAACGTGTTAAAGTCCCACCCTAAAAAACATGTTTTATTGAAAAATATACGTTATTCCTGCATTTTAGTGAAGATGAAACCTTGGTGCATAAGTGCAACATCTGCATGTTAGAACTAAAACATTTTGTCACAGTTTTTTAACACAAACTAAAGATGTTCAGTGGGAAACAAATGGTCTGATTTATTTTGTTTGCAGCATCGGCTTAGTTGAACAACCTTTAACAGCTGAATGGTTTATTCTCTTAATGACAGATGAGCTCATTAAAGAGAGTCTCCTTACGCTGGATAGTTGTTATCATTTATTCTTTTCATCACATGTAAATCAGTGTTGTTTCAGTTGATGTGGTCATTTGACATGTACTCACCCATCTTGACTCACAACAGGGAAAGCGGTTGTCTGTTTTGCGCCCAGGAAACAGCAGAGAAGCTAACTGTTAGCATTAGCAACCCCACCACACAGCAGAACACCTCCAGGCTTGTGTTAAAACACCAACATTGCAAAGCAAACGGAGTCAGAGGTAGAGTTGTGTTGCTGTTAGATGTCCAAATACTTTCGCCTCCAGCTGACTTCTACATCCTCAAACAGGCACTTTTCCCCCCAGAGGACGACTTACAAGGCATTCATTTTTACTACAGACCACTGAAAATGTATTAAAATGTGAGTAAAGCTGACCTTTAATATATGCTTTATATGCAAATATTACAATACTTGACTTAATCAGGCATCAAAGGGTGGCTTGAGCTTCAGTACCTGTTTTCTCTAAGTTGAGTTGGTTTTAAAGACAACTGAGACATCAACAAAAAGGAAGGTAAAAGCACATTTGGCGGTTTTGGCTTGCTCTTAGCACCCCTAGTGTCCATTTAGTAGAACCAAAAGCGAAAGTTTTCTACTCGCTGTGAGTTTGTCTTCTTAACGCCTTAATCTAACAGCTGAAATGTCTCTTCAGCCTTCGTTAGTGTCTATAAGAGTGATTCATCGCTAAATCAAACAAATCGGCTGTCTTCATAATGTAAAACATGCAGGAAACGTGCTGGAAGCAGACTGCAGTGCCAGGCATGTCAGCTCCACTTTTTCTAAGTCCAACAGGTGGCGGCTGGTCACTCTGAAGCTGAATGTGCAAAATTCTCAGTGGCCTAGTGGTGGAGTGTCTGCCCTGGGACCGGGAGATCAGAGTCCAAACCCCAGTCAGGTCATACCAAAGACTATAAAAATAGGACTCAATGTGTCCCTGCTTGACACTCAGCATTGAGGAGTTGGATCGGGGGGGTTAATCCCCCAAATAGTTCCCGAGCTCGGCCATGTCTGCAGCACATTGCTCCCCACGGGGATGGGTCGAATGTAGAAGACAAGTTTTACCACACCACACCAGTGTGTGTGTGACAACTATGAGACTTTAATCCTTAATTCTAATCACAAAGGGCGGTAAGGGTCTGAGTGACATTTTATTAACCCTGTAAAGGGTTATTTTAGCACATACTGGCTCAAGAAAAGGATTCAAGTATGAAAATGTTGCATAGTACTCAACGCTGTGTCCCTTAATTTCACCCTAATCTGTCAGTCATCATCTACACAGTCTGTAAATTTGTAATAAATCTGATTTTTAAAGACATGTTTTTATTAAGCTTCTTGAATAATGAATAATGCCCCTATATCACAAATAAAAAGTGGTTTGGGAAGAGGAGTCGGTGTTGTGTGGATTTTTATATGGAAGAAGGAAAGTGTGTTTTCATTCAGCTCACACTTCAGGAGTGTGTGTGTTGGAGGGCAGGGGTTTAAGATTTTGCTGTGCAGAACAGGATCAGGGAGGAAGCATGGCTGAGAGGTCACGA